AGAATTAGCAAAAGTATGTGTCCCTGCATCTATATGCATTTCTTGTGTTTTCTTGGGTCACCAAAAAACCTTTTATCCGGCAAGTAACTTTGGAAACATTGCCAAGACAAGTTTTTGCTCAAAATTTCACAAGTGGCCCTTTTCTTTAATCATGGGATTAAAGTTAATTAAAGTTAATTAAAGTTAATCCCATGATTAACTTTTAAGTGGTAAAAGTGCTCTAGACCAACTATTGGTTGAATGAGGAGAAGTGTGTTATTGCCAAGACTATGTGCTGATTCTGGGTTTCTCCTCAGGAGACTTAAAACCCAGCTTCACAAACAATGGAGTGGCTAACTTACCACAGTAGGTCCCACAAACAGTGGACAGCTGACTTCTTTGATTTTACCTTTAAGCTTAGGTTTGCCTACTATGACTCCTAACAACATTCTGCTCTACTCAGATCTGTGCCTTGCTCAGCTACTATGAGAGAAGCTTCATCCTGTAGCAGATGGGAACAATACAGACTCACAGACTGTATGCAGAAAGGGAGACCTTGAAGCAGGTCTAAAGGGGTGTCTCCATCAAATCCCTCCCCTCGGGGCTCAGGAAACTGCAGAAGAGGAGGTGGGAGAGTGTAGGGCCAGAGAGGACACAAGGCCTTCTAGAAAACAACAGGACTGGCACACACATGAACTCACAGAGACTGTGTCAGTACGCAGTCTGCCTGTATGGGTTTGTTCCAGACGGGTGTGGTCCTGGAGCTAAAAGGAGACGTGAGCACATGCCTTCATTCCTAACCCAGAAGCTGTCTCCAATTGATAGCCACTTGCAAATGAAAAATTAGTTTTAGTTTTCTCCAAGGGAGTCTCACTGAGGAAACCAAGTGTCCTTAAGGGCAGCCCCTGAAGGGTTCATGCCCAGCAGTAGGTGGGAACACAAAATGACCTCAATAGCTTCTTTGGAGGCTGATCTTGGATTGCCTCCTCTGTTAAGTTAGGATTTTTTTCTAACCTTGTAGGGCCTTTGCATATCTATTATGGTTTCCAGTTTTGTGGATTCCTGTGTGTGTGCAAAAGTATGTGTCTCTGCATCTATATGCGTTTATTGTGTTTTTTTTTTTCCTTTGGCTCTTTTTCTTGTTTAGTTGTTTTTACCTATTCTATTTTATTTTACTATATTTTATTAAAAAATAATAAACCTTTCTCCATTAAAAAACACAGAAGCTGAGGTTGTCATATTATTGTTAACAATACTTTGAATTACTTAGTTTAAAATTGTCCCTGCTGCCTGTCAAGTGTGGACAGACGCTCAGCTCCCGACAAAATGGCAGTCGGGCAGTGCTTTGAGATAATAGCCAGCACCTGATGAGATGGAGCTTAGTGGCAAAATGCAGGGGACCAGTACTGAGAGCGTTAGCCTCTCATTTAACCTTTGGTTAAATATGCCTGAACCGGTCTTGACACTGATGTCCTGCTGTTAATGTCTTTTCCGCAACAGCCAACCAACTCACCTATGCGTAAAGCCAATCAGTACAGCCCTCTCAGAATCAAGGGTTACAATGTTAGCTGCATGTTGGTTGGTCAGCAATGATTTTGATGAATATTCTTGATCAAAGAGAAAAATATAAAAATTAACAGTTAAAGGATGAAATAATTCTTGTCATATCCAAGAAATAATTGGATCCAGAAGGTAATGAAGAGATGTGGGGAGGCACTAATGCTTGCTTCTCTAAAATAAGCACTTTTTACATTTTTTATTCAAGACAGAGTTTTTCTGCATAACCACCCTGGCTGTCCTGGAACTCACTGTGTAGACCAGGCTGGCCTCGAACTCACAGAGATCCACCTGCCTCTGCCTCCTGAGTGCTGAGATTAAAGGTGTTCACCACCACTGCCCAGCTGACAAATACTTTTTAAGGACTTTCCAAAGACCCCAGAGATATTTCTTCTGTCATGCTTTCCAGTGTATGTCTACAGCAAAGTTTACCTTTTCTTTTTTTTGAGACAGTGTAAGACTGTATAACCCTGGCTAGCCTGGAACCAGACTGCCTTCTAATTTACAGAGGTCTGCCCGCCTTTGCCTCCAAAGTTCTGGGATTAAAGGTGTGTACCACCTCCTACCCAAAGTTTATCTCTAATGGTCCCCAAGATCAAAACAATTCATCTAAGACACTGAACAGAATACCTGTCCAGCATGTGTGCCAGTGAGCTGCCAGTGAGCTTCTGCCTCTGATTCCTAAGACCAATGAGCTTTTTGTGGAAGTTTGTTTTGTTTATGATTTGTTTCTTTTTTGTCTTTGAAATCTACCCCTTGTCTACACTTCCTTGAATACATTAATAGTTTTCCAGGGCATATGGATTCTCATTGCAATGATTTGCTATTGTTAAATAAATATTAATCTCTCTCCACTTGTACTTTGGATTGAAATCAACTGTGCAGTCCTGGCCTCCTCCGTATTAACAGGCCTCTCCCAAACACAGTAAGGCAGGGCAGCTGGTCATGCTGTTTTGCTGAATTATGGCATGTTGAGGGAAACACAGAGAGACCAGCGTCTATCTCCTGGGCTTTCTGGGCTCTTGGATGTATGGTTTACTTTATTTGGTTCTGATCGGCTACCAGAAATACCGTGATGACCCTGAGACCTAATGAAACACCTATGTTTTGCCTCTGTTTCTAGTGGGGAGCTGTGACACTCACATTTTCAGTTATAGGGTCCTGGGACAGATGATCTCAACCCATGAAATTCGGTCCTCTGTCAGGGGTATGTTCCCCACATCCCAATTCTACCAAGTTCCCCATAGGTTGGATATGTGAACAGAGCCTCAAGCAGACTTTTCCCTCCACAGAGGCATGGCCTGGGACATGCTTCTGCTTAAGCGGGGACAATGAGATGAGGCTTCACAGATAGACATCACATCAGAAACATCTGCAGTCTGATAACCCCAGTGTCAAGAACATAGACACTCTTGGCTCAGGGGATCCAGCTTCCCACGCTTGCTAACACTTGCTCAGGCAGAGTTCACCTGTGTTCTGCCGGTGCTCTCAGTGTCCCTGTGCCAGTGAAGTACTTATACTCGTAGCACAGCTGTGACATACATGTGCTCATGATCCTTGGGTTCAATAGCTATCTTTTCTCAGGGTCCATTTGTGCTTAGTACTGCAGCTACACTGTGACGTAGACACCATTTCCCCAGCCAAAACTGGAGATAAGTGTGTGCACGTGTAGCGAGTGCCTCTGCGCAGCTAAAACTTTGCATCAGTCCCGTGTGTTGTTGTGTCTCCCACACTATAGAACAGCACTACAGCCCACAAAGGTCCACCATGTGTGTCACTGTTTGCCAGGAGGGCACCAAGGAGGTCGTGTGTGGTCTGCCTCAGTTTCTTTGCTGAAAACCGGTATATGAACCCAGAATCCCACCATTGGCAGTGCAGAGTGTCCTCAAGCCACTGGCAGAAATCTGGGTTTTGCTGACTTTCTTTGACTGTTATTCCTTTTCCTCCATTCTGGGGCCAGTACAAACCAGCAGTTACAGAACCATCATAGTCATAGTGTGGCGTCCCAAGGATGTATCTTTTAGGGTACGAAATGACTAGAAACACTGGAGAGGGGCCGTAGGACACGGGCAGGCCTGGGACTAGGATTTAGGACAGCCCTGCAGCTTGGACGGGGCAGTAGGAAGGAAAGAACCCATCTCAGGCTCAGGGCTATTGTAGGCCCTGCTTTGAGGATTGCCGGAAGGTGGGTGGGAGGGAGGCAGGAAAGGGTAGAGTGGGAAAGAAAGGAGGAAAGAAGAATAGAGGGAGGGAAGGATAAAAATTGAGGAAGGATGGGTGGGCCATGAGCATTAGAATGTTAATGTTATGTCCCAGCCTCCCCTAAATACCTAATTTCTTGTTTTGTTGCTAATGTATGCTCCATTTGGCTCATGGATGACCCATTTCTTTAAAAGGAAGCAAAGTGAAGACCAAGATAATCCCGCAGATTATTCTATTCAGGTCGCTGGGTGGGAGCTTGTTTATGACAGATAAGTATAAGAGGATTGTAACATCCTCCTGCCCAGCCTTCCCGCTTGGCCGGGGAAGGCGTGACTGCCTGGGGGGGGACCTGCCAGGAGGGGACCTTCTTGGCTCTGGGATTCCCCCACTGGATGTGACTGACCTATGCAGCAGGTACTGAGGCTGCCTGGAAGAGAAACAGAGCAGGCATGGGAAGGAAGACTGTCTCCAGCCCTTCTGTGGAACAATCTAATCCCTAGCATACATTTTGACCCCTCTCTGAGCCCTCCACAGCTGTCGTCACCCCGTATCTAGTGGCATCTCACTCAGCATGCCCATACCCGCAATGCCTTCCATCCATAGGAGCTCTGCACCAGTTTTCCTGCCACAGCCACCAGCTTCCATGGAAGTCTCTGTCAATAAGGTCATTCCCAACCTGCTCCCTGAATCTCTTTTCACTCCATTCCCACTCTCCCTCTCCTGGATCCCAGATTCCCTGCCTCTAGGACCAGTGTGGTTCCCTTTGTGAGTAAAACTGCTTCTGCCATGTCTGGGTGTGTGTGGCATCTGGCCTCTGTAGCAGCCCGGACCCCTTCAGAGCCCTATGCAGATGATAGTCACCCAGGGAAGCCTGGTCACCCCTGTTCACTGGTAGTAGCCCTCACAGCCCTTACCATGCAGAAAGGAGGCCTGACCCCAGATACAGAAACCTTGCCAAGGCCAGAGGCTGAATCTCGAAAGCCTCCGTGAGAACATCTCTTAAACAGTATTTCTGCGGCAATTAGGCAGCGGTGTGAACGTTCCACGTGGGGAGGAAAGGAGAGACCCTTTAGGCTTCCTTGAAGCTCCCTCCCTCCCCCCTTCTTTTAAGCTGAAAATGTGAAAGACTAGGTCCAGGTTGGGGAAGACGGGAAGCTGGGCCATGTGACCAGATGGGACAGGGAAGGGTGAGCTGCAAGAACCCTGGCCCTGACATCCCTGAGGGACAGCATACCCCTGCACCTTAGCTGGAGGACACTCACCTCCGCCACATCCTGCACGTTCACCATCTTCTTGGTCTGGGCCACATGGCCTACCACGCCAATGTCCAGTGGGAAGACGATCTCGGAGTCAGGGGGCACCAGGCAATCCTCCAGGAGGCTGTCCGGCTGCACGCTGAAGAGCCGTGTGTAAAGTTCCGCTGTGCCATTGCGTTGGCGGTACATGAAGAGGCTGCAGCGGTCTGCGTGCAGGATGGTGCAGAGGCGCCGCAGGACCTTGAAGACCACGCGTTCCATGTTGACGTTCTCTTGCATGTCCTGCACCAGTTCAAACAGCGCGGCACTCTCTTCCACCTGGCACAGCTCCCGCAGGCTGTCGCAGCCCACCAACGGGCCGTCGTCCCAGGCCCCTGCCACATTTTCAGGGCTTAGCTTCTTACCGAAATAATGCTGGGCAAAAGTGGGGTTCCCATCTAGGAAGCTGCGTACCTGGTCCTCACTGAGGCTCATGGTGTCCCTGCTGCTGTGCCCAGGGCTTTCCCCACTCCCAGGGACACATGGATTCTGCAAACACTGTTGTCAGCAAAGTCTTTCTTAGTGATGATTAGGGAGTCCCGGGGAGGCCGCTGACTCACACCGCAGAAGTGGCCTGTCCTCTCTCGCCTCAGAGGCCGGCAATCCTAGCTCCCCTGGAAAAACTGGATATTTAGAATCGGGGTTTGGGGTAAAGCTAGGGGGGGCTCCCTGACTATTGAAGGCATTACGGGCAGTTAAGGGAAGGCGTGTCACTTTTGGCGAAACAGGCCCCGAGACTGGTAATTACACAAACACAGACCCTGACTCTCTTTGCTTGGGGAGCTGCCGAAGCATTTGGGTTGGTCCGAGAAAAAGTCCCTGATCTACCCTGGGAAGGCGGTGGCCATAGGCCTTTCAGGGCTGTCGCTGACTTCTGAGGCAGGGAGTGCAAGGAAGAAAGGCAGACACGGAGGTGGAGGTGTTAGGCAGACTGCTCCTGAAGTCCTTGGTTACAAGTCTCCTTGATCTTTACCTGCTGTGGAGGACATAGCATGGAGTAAGATTCCTCTGCAGCCAGGTGCCTGTCAACAGCAGGAGGGGTCAAGCTCAACACCTGTGGGCTATAAACTTTCCCTTTGGGATGTCACCAGGCCCCTGGACCCACAGAGTTGTCTCTTGAAACGCTGTCTCTTTTCTGGACTAGCTCCTCCCTAGCCTTGGGGTCCATAAAGTTCATGTGACCCGTTGGAATTGCACAGTGTTGTGTAACCCAAATGGGTTGGAGAAGTGTTTTTGTTGTTGGGTTTTTTTTTTTTTTTTTTTTTTTTTTTTTTTTACTTCCTTGAATACAGAAACTTACTCCAGGGAGTCAAGGTTTCTCTGTGTAGTCTTGGCTCTCCTGGATGCACTGTGTGTTGCTAGATTCTTGTTCTGCATCAATCCGCAGCTGCCCTGTGAGCACTGCTTTACAGAGCTGCAAACCTGTGTTTCGGTGCATCCAGATGACAGTAGCTGCCCAGGCGCTGGCTTCTGTGGCAGTCACGATTTGATGACAAAAAAGAGTGGTTCCGATTCAGTTCTAGTGTCCAGGTGCCCTGCTGCAGGCCAGCCCTGCGCACTAAGCTCTAAGCATATTGCAGAGGTTATGGGTGTGTTGCACAGGTGCGCTTGCCTGAGCGTGAGAACGTGTGAGTGCCAAAGGACAGAGGGAGACACAGTACTCTGTCCTGTGTGTGAGCCAGCCTGCAGCACCCAACCTGACCTCAACGATGAGACTGGATTAATTGGAAGGATTTCTGGGCCTCATTCCAGGTGAGACCAGAACTCAAACCTCAGGCCTCCGGGGACCACCTGGGAGCTTCCTCACTCTGCCTCTTCCACATATCCTTTCCATCAGGGCGTAGTGTTTGCGTGTAGTTTTGGCCTTTTGGCATCAGCTGACAAGGTGTGTGCTTGGTGTACATGTGATTAATTATTTCTAAGCTTCAAAGCAGGGAAATTTCTCCCTGGCTTTGTGCTGGCACCTGGGGTTTCAGGCAGGAGAGCTGACTGACTGCACAGCTGTGTGGCTGCACTGGGTCCAGCTGAGTGTAACAGCCTTGTCTCTGCTGAGTCACGTACATCTTCCTCTCAGGAGTCTGCTTCGAGGTCTCTCTCTTTTCCCAAAAATAGTGAATTCTGCCTGGGGACTCAGGAGAGAGACTTTGGGAAGAGGCCAGTGTGTGGACAGACACTGCAGGGCTGGAGTTGAGGCTCAGAGCAGCAGGCCACCTGCTTGGCATTCAGTCCTGTAGTGGCTTGGGATGGACCTGGCATGTTATCTCTGTCAGAGGAGAGAAAAATGCCTATAAGGCCCCCTTGTTTCCCTTTGAGACCCACCGTCCTGCTCCGGGGCCACAGAAATGCTCTACAGTTGTGAGAACCATGGAGGCGACCACAGGCAGGAGCAGAATAAATGGTCACAGGATAAACTTAGGTTGGAGCTCACTCACTGTAACCCTAACCCATCCAATATCCAATTACGGTGCTACCATGGAGCCTGTAGGCATGCTGATTAAAGGGTGTCAGGAACGCAACAATCCCCACAGATGGCCTAAGCCCATGTTGGTAGGAGCTCTGCATAAATGGCCGAAGGTAATGGCACTGCACAGATTGGCCCGTTCTCACCTCACGTTCTCACACATCCACTAGTGACGCCTTGGGGTGGATTCAATGAAGTCATAACCACACACTGTGGGTTACACCTGTGAGACACATCTGCAAGACACCTGTGAGCTGAACCCCGTGAGGTGCACCTGTGAGACACATCTGTGAGACACCTGTGAGCTGCACCCCATGAGGTACACCTGGGAGCTGGCCCTGTAGGACACAGGTAGGCTCCAGGGGTCATTGGACTTGCCAGGTGACTTCTCTGCAGATGCAGCTGGGGGGGTGCTTGAGAGGAAGTGGGACTGCTCCATTTACCAGTCTCCTATTAATTTTGCCTCATCATAATGTGGAATTTTAAAATGAGTCACACATCCTGGGAGTAATTTAGAACAGGAATGTGTCATCACCAGCTGTTACGGGAAGAGAATCTGGCTTCTTGTACCAAATTGTGGAAAGGATACAATTAGACAAGGAGCAGTATGTTCTGGAATAAAAATTAACCAGTCAGAAAAAAACGGCAAGAGATAGAAGTGGGAGTTAGAGCTCACAACCAGAATTTCATCCTGTCTGTGAGCAGAGGAACAGATACGTACACCTCAGAATGAGATCCTGGGATGAGAAAGACCTGGGACAGACAGAACACCTAGGCCTTCTGTGAGAACAAGATGGGCAGACCCTCAGCGAGGCTTCTTTTTGGGACAAAGACCAGTGTGGCCTCCAGCTCAAGACACCCCTAATTGCTAGGATTACAGGCCCGAGCCACCATGCCCAGCTCAGTCTAAGGCTTCTTGTTTTATGTTTCCAGCTAACAATGACCTTGCGTAGATATTCTCTGAGTAAGGAATGATGGCCCCTCGGATGAGTCTCCTCCTGAGTCTGGCCAAGATGTGCTTGTGAGTGAGGGGCCGTCCCTCAGGCAGGAGGCATAATGAGTGTTTACTGCCATTCTTGTCCAAGGGGAGCTTGGGAGCCAAGATGGGCTCCTTGGCATCTGGCAGTGTGTGCCTGCCTCAGCGTCTAGAAACTTACTCTGTGCACACACATTTATACTTTTTTTTTTTTCCTTAGAGAGCTTCTCAATGTTTCCCCTGTGGGACCCCTTCATCCATTTGCTTTGTTTTTATCTGAAGCTCTGGACCACAGTGTTAGAATTTCCAACTTAACATCCACAAACTGCCCCTGGTCAATACAGGTGTATTATAGAATTCCACAGATGTGTTCAGAACCACTCACTAGCCAGTGGCTAAAGCCGAGTGGAGCTGCCTGGTGAGTGGCTCATGGGGTTCATTCTGTTCTAAACAGCTGAAGTCCCAGAGGTGTCAGAGGAGCAGGAGGCATCACCTCTAAGGAGAGGAGCCCCTCCTCTGGCTTCTTGTGCTAGAAACCAGCTAGGGCGGAGGCATGGATGTTGAGGCGGCTAAGGCAGGGCTAAAGTGGGCGGAGAGGGTTGATCCTCATGTTAAGTGATGGATGATGCTGACCCTGCGTGGTACGGCTCATCCACAAGTTTATCTGGCTTCATGGCTTCCTGGGTTTTGACCCACTATTTTTCAAAGCAACCTGTTTGTTCTCAGTCTTGGTGTCAGGTACAGCAATGATTAGCACTCAATGGAGTGGGGGTGGCAGCCAGGATGTTAGGCCATGCCCCAACTCTTCACATAGGTCCTGAAGAAGGCTCCCAAATAATTAAGTCTCTTACTTCCTTTTCTGATGGCTTGAGCTTTTGGGAGTCTTTGTGAATTCCCCAGGGAATTACAGATTCTCCTATGGACTGGGCAGCATGACTGAGGCCTGTGCATCCAGCAAGGCTCCTCGGGCACACCACAGAGGTACCACCTTGGGAAATGGAACAAAGCTTTCTGTAGCGGGGTCCTTGAAAGTACAGAAGGGGCCTGAGTTCAGCAGAGAGATCCTAAAAGGACGTTTGCAAGGTTCCCATGCCGCGGGTAGTACATTTATGACAGCAGTAAGCAGGAGAGACAGGCAGACCAAAATAAAGTCTCCATTTTTGAGGGGCACAGACCAAGAAGCAGGTGCCCCAGGGACTGACCTCAATGCTGTGATCTGGGCCGATGATGGTGAATGCCCCTAAGCACAGTTTGGAGGGTGGAACCAAGGCCTGGGGATAGACAGGAGGTTTCAGGCTCATATATGATTCTTGGCCCCATGCATGTTGGAAGGAGGCATCCAGAAGGAACTTGGAACAGAGAAGCGAGGTTGTTTCAACTTAGCAATTCAGAGGTTTTGCAGTTATAACCATCACTATACATTTAGAGGCTTTGAATACAGTGGTATTTTGTTGTTGTTGTTTGGCTTTTTGGCTTTTAAAGAAGACACATGGTCATTTAAACTTGAAGCCAACAATAAGTTCATTTGCAATGTCAAAGACTGTTAAGGAGCTTGGCATCTGAGAGAACACAGCTCCAGGAGCTGTGGTGCAGACAGCTGTCAAGGGCTCCTTTGTCGTGTGGACCTACAAATGAGCACACAATGGAATTTGTCCATCTGAAGTAGAGCCCCTTTGTGGGGTCTCCAGGAAGGCTCTCCCTTTTCTAGCATACCCAATTGGCCACTGAGGTCAAGGATTGCCTTTTGAACTAAAACAAAAATTGTTGTGGCAAAATACACATGAAGTTTTTAATCATACTTGAGTGTTCAGTTCAGCAGGTTCAGAGCATTGTGGCCGGGCGTGGTGGCGCCTGACTTTGAGGGCACTAGGTCCCTCGTTTCAGTAGCACCACAGAGATATCTGTCCTTTTGTGTCTAGCTTAGTTCACTCAGCATAATATTCTCACATGCACGCTGCAGTTTGTGTCAGAATCTCATTTCTGTTTCACAACCGAATAATATTCCATGATGTGCATGGGACACATTTTCCCCTCCTCTTATCCTTTCATGGGCATTTGGGCTGCCTCCACACTGTAGCTGCTGTGAACACTGCCACATGAACTTGGATGTACAGGTATACCATTGAAGTGCTGAAGGAACAGTTTATTGACACAGAATTTTATTGCTTTTCTGCAAATGCCACAGAGTATTTTCCCTCATCTATTTTAACAAGATATATCCCATTAAGTTAGGAGAAACGGCAGACTTCAAGAATAGCTTTGGAGCCCAGCACGGTGGCACACACCTGTAATCCCAGCACTCAGGGAAGCAGAGGAAGGTGGATCTCTGTGACTTTGATGTCAGCCTGGTCTACAAAGCAAGTCCAGGACAGCTAAGGCTACACAGAGAAACCCTGTCTCCAAAACAAAATAAATTGAAAAAAGTGCTGGCGTCTTGAAAAACAAACAAACAAAATAAAACAAAAAAGAAAAAGGAACAGTGTTGGAATCCAAGTAGTTAACATCAAGTGGAGTGGTATGGTGGGGGAGGAGGGAGAGGATACTGAACTGGGAAGATCAAAGTCAATGAAACAGAAAACAAAGACAGGAACTTCTTACTATAGGATAACTTTGGCCCAGCAGGCCCACCAAGGAGACAACACAGAACACAGAGCAGAGGAGTCCCCAGGAACAACAGCCCAATGTATGTTCGTGTGTGTGTGTGTGTGTGTGTGTGTGTGTGTGTGTGTGTGTGTGTGACAGTGACATCTTATGAGGGATGAATCTTATGAGGGATGAGTAAGAGCAATGAGGTGTGTGCAGGAGCTGGATGCCTCTCAAGACACTGACTTGGAGAGGCAGGTGAGCTGTCCGTTGCATCGGTGGCTGTGGTGTTTGAATGAGAATGGCCTTCACAAGCTCAGCATGCTTAGTCACCAGTTGGTAGAACTGCCTGGGAAGAATTAGGAGGCGTGGTCTTGTCTGAGGAAGTGTGTTGCTGGGAGTGTGGGGCTTGTGCACCGTGCCTCCAGAGAAATTGGCATGTGGCTGCAGAGATGGAGTGCGTTGAAACCCTGGAAATAGCAGACTTGAGATTTAAAATCTCATCCTGAGAAGGAAGGTGTGGGACAAAGCTCTTTGTTTCTGTGCCTGCCTCAGGAGCATGTGACACAGCCGCGGGTATGGCTACCGGTGATCAGTCACGTGGGCTTCTCACCTGCTATCTTTCCCCATGAAAACAGCGTCCTAAGACCCAGCCAAGGAGACCTTCATCCTCAGAGCCCCTCCCCACTGCCCAAGGTTCATAAAGCCCTGCTTCACATGAAAGAAAGCTGTGAGCGTCATCTGCTTAGCTGTTTATCTTAGCTGTAACACTGGGGGAAAGAATTCACCGCTGGACCTCTGGACTCGACACCCGAGTTTGCCGGGTGCTCACCAGGGAGTCATCAAAGAAGCTGCTGCTGTCTATCACACCACTCCAGCCACCACAGCTGCCGGATGTTCCCAAAGCAGCCCTACTGCTCTCAGGCTGGGCCCTGAGCTCCCTGCTGCCTCCCGACCAGGTGCTGGCAGCCCAGCTAAAAGAGAAATGACACTCACCTCGGAGAAAATCATCTTTTCCAACACCCACAGCTGGACCAAAGACCTTGTGGCACCGACCTCCTTCTGCGCTCACTCGGGACCCCGCGCTTCACCCTTTTCTGCCAGGAGACCCGCTGGCGCTTGGACCTTCGGCAAAGAAGGGCCTGGCTTCCTGCAGGAACCACAGGGGTGGGCTTTGGCATTTAAAAGCTGCCTCCTTCACCAGGTAGCTCTCTCTGCTACTGCTCAGCGCCATGCCTGCCTGCGCCATGCTACCCTCCATGATGTTCATGGACTTAACCCTCTGGACACATAAGCCCTCAAATTAAATGCTTTCTTTATAAGTTGCCTTTATAAATTTTATAGGTTGGCCATGTTGCCTCTTCACAGCAATAGCAAAATGACCTAGACAATGATCCACAAAGAAAGGGCTACAGATTTAATAAAGTTCTTGAGGTGGCCAATAGGCTGGCTAGGCCTGAGCCACAGAGGACAGAGGTAGAGGCTGGGAAATGCAGGGGAAGGCGCTGAAGACCGAAGCTGTGCTGGTTTTGCTGGGTCCCTCAGCTTTCCCAGTTGCATTACTGTGAGACACAGAGGCCTTTGCAAATAGCCATGTACCACTCTGTTTAAACTCCACTGAGGTTCCTCAAAGCCTCTCCCTTCCAATCCCCCCACACTAGGTAGGAGAGGTTAGTGGGGAGAGGGGGCGCAAACCCCTTTACTTCTCCTGGCCGTGTAGGGTCTATGGGTCTCCTGGCAGTGTAGGGCCTATGGGTCTCCTGACTATGTAGGGTGTATGGTTTTTGTTTGTTTTGTTTTTTAGGGCTATACCAATTCTCCGTCAACAGCAAAAGCAAGTGTCTCCTCCAAGCCTCTGTGTTGAAATGTTTCTCTTGGTCGGTCTCCCAGCCGCCACACCCACTGTCTATCTCTGGTCTCTCCAAACTGTCACATGCCACACACCACACTTTCTCTGGGCTCTCCTGTTTATATCCCTCAGAGTCCTAGACCACGCCCCTCTCTGGAGGCAGGCCATTACCAGCTGGCAAAGACCACGCCCCGCAGGAGGCAATTATCAACTGTGGACAAACTAAAGCCCAAACTAGACACCCCACACTTGGGATTAAAATAAAAACATATTTACGTGACATAACTGAGTTTTGAAAGAAGCCAGACTTCCAGTATAAGCCATGCTGGGCTTCTGTGAAGTTCCTAAGTGGGAATAAGTGCCTTGCTGACTGTCCTGGTTTTATCTCTGTTGTTGTGATAAAATGTATTGACAAAAAGCAGCTTAGAAGAGAAGTGGCTTATTTTAGCTTACAATTCTGTGATAGCTCATCATTTGGGAGAAGTGAAGACAGGAACTGGAGAAGATAGTCACATGACATCCACAGTTAATAGCGGAGAGAATAACGCATTACAGCTTGCTTGCGAGCCTTCCTAACTCTTACGCAGTTCAGGGCAGACCCTAGAGAGTGGTGCTGCCCGCGGCGGGCTGAGCCTTACGTATCAGTTAAAATCAAGGCAGTCCTCTGCAGACGTGTTCACAGGCCAATCTAGACAACCCCTCAGTGGAGACTTCCTTCTCGGGTAAGCACGGGTTATGGCAAGCTGAGAACTGAACCGACATGGCACACTGACCTGTGAGGTGTAAATATCCCCCAGGTATTGCTGCCCCAGGCCGAGAGGAAGCCCAAAGGCCATGTGGATGTCTGTGATCGCGCTGTAGCTAGGGGCTGTGTTGACATCGAGGCCCTTGCTGCCACCGAGGGCCACGCAACGGTTCATCTGTGGTCCAGACTGCCTCGTAGGGCCATGACTGGGTCTGTGGTGGTCCTGATGCATTTGAGGGCCATGTTGATGTCCACGGCCTATGTTACCATCCAAGTCCGGGCAAATATCCCTGTTTTGTGCTGCCACACAGGGCCATGTTGATTTGGTGGCTTGTGCAGCTACCTGAGGCCTTATTAATGTCTGCAGTACATCTGTGGTCTGTGCACCCGAGGCCATGTTGGTGTCTATTTTGGGGGTGCCTTGGGGGTTCATAGTTGGTGTCTGCCACCTGTGTTGCACTGGAAACCATGTAGAGGCCCAGGATCCATGTTCTTGCTACTGGAAGCCACTTTTGCAGGGGTATTGATGACTGCAAATGCACAGTTGAGAAGCAGGGACATAGAAGGCTTCTGTGACAACCCCTAAAGCCTCAGCCACTCCAAAGTAACAACCTAAAAGGGAAGCCATCAAAGAGAACACTTAAGAAGTGTGTAAGATGCTGAAGTGTAGCTCTCCACACTTGCGGCTGCCGCAGCAGTGCACAAGGAAAAGAACTCAGCTGTCTTTCAGGGACTGGCCACTGGGAGTCTGACCTTGGTCCACGGAGTACATGGGCAACACTAATTGGATTTTTCCTCCTTCTTTCCTCCCTTCCTTTCTTCTTTCCTTCCTCTTCTTTTTCTTTCTTTTTATGGGGGGGTAGGGGTCACATGGGTGTGGTGGGGAAGACATGGGAGGACTGGGAAGTAAGTGTGATTGGGGTACATGATGCAAAATTCCAAAACAACCAATAAAATATCTGTTGGGAGAAAAAAGAAAGAAACATTATGGGACCCAGAGTAACCCTGAGCCTGACACCGAGATGCAGAGTCATCACAGTACCCAAGACCAAGGGGAGCTTTCTGAAGCGAGAACGCTTTGGCCGTGTCACCTCCGCTGAGGAAAACCAAGGTCTGCTTGGAGACCTCAGGTCTAGGGTTGGATAACATGCTTCTGTATAAGGTGTGTTTGAAGCACTGCTGACATTTCAGTGAGCAGTCAGTTCTACTATGCAATCGTCCTCAAGCTACTGACCTGTGGCATTGTTAAAAGAATTTAGAAAAAGCCAGAAACTTCTAAATTGTGGTGGCATGGGGCCACCTTGTCCTTATTTCTTGTCCACAAAGATCCACAAAATCCACAAAAGGACTTTTTTCACAGATGTGGTTCCAGAATGAAAAAGATATATCACAACCATCCTACAATTATAAAACATAGAGAAAACCAAAGAGAACAGGATAATGGTTGTTATGAACCAAACTCATTTGAGGTTACAATTTCTGCACAGCACAAACTATTAACTTCAATTTTAACTTCCAATTTCTATTCTAGTTCTTGTGATAATAGCATGTTTGGCCTAGAGCTCCTTTTACATCAAATTTTATCTATCTGTCCATCTAACTACCATCTATTTATCTATCATCTATCTATTTATCTATACATTTATCTACTCATTCCTTCATCCATTTATCTATCATTATCAATTCATTCACCCATATATGGCCACATATATATTGCTCCTTTACTCACTTAGTGACATTTATCAGATACAGTTTTGTTACTTCTGATTGATAGTTAATATTCTACATTATGCTTTCAGCACAGTTTTTACAGTTGTATTGAAGTATAATTGACAAAATCAAACCTGTACACATTTGGTTTGATCACCTGAGCTCAACTGTGTCTCTTAAACCCAAGAAGGTCTTTTGACTCTGCCTGGGCTCCTCAGCTGGCACCATTGCTGGCCACTCTTCAGCTGTGGTCACTGTCTTGCCTTGTTTCACACCTAACATTTGAAAACCATGTTCGCCGTCTTCTGTCCAGCATTTGAGTTGTTACAAGGAACGGCCTGCCACCTTTGCTCTTTCCCAGTTTGGGTGAGAGTCCTTCTTTTCATTGCACCAGTAATCACTCTCTGCCTGCCTGTGACTTCCTGCCTCATGTGAGACCACAGTGAGCATTCTTGAACATCATTATGTTTATTTGAAAATCTGCAGTGATTGCCCAGCCACTGTGCTCTTGTTTGCCCTACAGGATGGTTGTGTCTATTTATGTCTGCTAGGAAAGAAAGGCTCCACTTGGACCATCCAGCCCTGGTTTTGGAAGTCCAGAAATATAAGGAGACAGTGTGATGGGTGGCAGCAGCAGCAGCGTGATTACAAGGGAGGAAACAAATACAGGAAACACAAGATCACTGCCTGATGGGTTCCACAGGTAGAAGGAGGTCTGACCCACTTGGAGTGGCGAGAAGCTGGAGTGTGCGGGAGCCAGAGCCAGATCCACTTGTGAAGGAAACCAAAGCAGAGGAAGGTAGCAGAGCATCAGTAAAAGCTCCTGCAGAGGTGGTCCAGCAGTACCCTCTTGATGGAGATTCAGAGTGGCAATTCTTCCTGGGAAATGTGTCCCAGTGGTTCCCTGAAGATGTGGACAGCTGGCTATACTAGTACCCATGACATTGGCTTACCTGAGCGTTGGTACAATGTTCTCATGGAATGTCTACACCTTACCCTTGTTCATTCAAATACTGATTTCTCTCCCCCACTCTCTGGTTTCAATCTGGACATTGCATTGTGATATTTATTCTAAGCATCACCTGTCTCAACTTTGTGTAAAGATGCCAAAATAGGCAACTAGCCACAATGTTGAGCAATAGAAAGGAAGCAGGAAGAGAGGGAGGAGCCAGAGGACAGGAAGGTGGGAGGCAGAGGAGGAAGAGAGAAGGGCTGAGGAGAAAGCTGAGAGAGAAGACTGGAGGAGAGATGGACTGGACCTAATATATCACTAAAAGCAAGTATAATGTGGGAAATCTAAATGTTAGGAAACTATGAGGGCTTGGAGGTTTAGGATGGAACAACTATTGCCCAGCATTGTGTTCTAGGTTAATTAAATAAATCCCAGTGTCTGTGTGGTGATTTGGGTATACAGCTGTTTAGGATTAACAGCAGCTTTACCAGAAGATATAGCAATAGTAAATATTAATCGTCACCTACAACTGCTGAGCTCTGTTCTATCACAAAGAGAAGTCAGAGACACATAGACGGATTATCATTAAGTGCTTCAGCCAGACTGCAAAGGAGACCCTGAAAGACCACATGTGAATGGTGACAGTCTTGGAGGGCCATCCAACAGGGGCTCCCCAAGCTTCTTAGGACAACTTTTCCTTCCATGCTGTGAGGTATTCCATTCTAGTGAGGTATTATGTAGGTCTATGGCCCCAGAGGCAACAGTACCGGCTGCACAAAACAGTTTGTTCCCCAAATTCCACTGGACCTGGTGAAGCAGTGACCCCCCAAGATCACTGTTCTGGCCTCATATATAGGATTTTGTTGAGGGTTTGGAGTCAGTTCTAGAATAAGCTCATGTGTCCCATGGCTCCACGTGGGGGAATGAGGGTTCAGTTAAGCAGGTGTGGGAGCATGGCTATCTTCCAGGGAGAAGCCTGGCTCAGGAGACAGAAGGAGAGTTGTCTGCACGTGGTTCAACAACAGAGGTCTTTGCCTCAGCGATCCTGGTTTGCTAGCCTGGAGACCTGGGACTGCCAAGGGGTGGCTATGCCTCCATTTGCATGCTCTGGGAGGCTGTTCTGGTGGGTTTAAACTGACTGGTCTAAGTGGACACCTTCCAGAGGTAACCATGAACTTGTCTTTGGTAGGCAGGACCTGGAGCCACTGAGTGTCCCCATGCAGAGTCCCTCACACCGTGTTGGATGCACTTCCCAGCAGTTTGCTATTGGAGAGGGCCTGGCTGTGGACAGTGAGGACAGCTACACAGTTTTAGCAAAACAGCTGCAGAATGAATTTCTGTCAACTGAGGGACTGGGTTGGATCTTGTCTTTGTTCAAAGAAGAGATACACAAAGAATCTCAGTGTGCTCGGATGAGGCCTGGAGAGGGTAAATGGAGACAGGAGGCTGAAACCTAAGCCAGGGTTCCAGGGAAAGGTTTGACTTGGACCATGAGTTTGTGAGTTATCAGTAAACAGTTGTTTCTTACAATTGTGGGGGTGGTAAACCCAGGAGGAGTGGATGGCTACCGAGAAGGCAGGGTCAGGAGTCGAGAATGGCAGGCATCTGCTTGACCCCACTTAATGCAGCATCCTTTCCCAGGAATCCCACATTTGATGTGTTAGATATTTCCTTAGCTACCCGAGTGGTATCTTTCTCTCCTACAAAACTGTTCCAAGAATCAGGAGCCATGCCTTTCCTGCTAATTATTCCCAGACATTCAGAGCATTGTGGTGGTCCGCTAAATCTTTAGAAAATGGGCAGCTGCAGGACCGAAGGCCACAAGATTCTTTCCTTTAACTGTTTTCACTTGTTTCAAATCTAATGTGAGAAGCTGTTTTTTTTTCCTGGCATTTGGTGGATCCAAATATGAAAGACAGTTCTATAAACTTATTAAATTCATGCCATTACTTGAGTTAACATAAAAATTCTATTAGCAATTTAATGGGCCAGTGAAATGGCTCAGCAGGTAGAACCTGTTACCAAGCCTGACGACCTTAATTTGAAGCCACGGCCCCACAGGTGAGGGAGCGCTCAAGTGCTGTCCTCTGACTGCCACAGGTCTTTCACTACAGTCACTCCCCACACGCAAACGAACAACGAACAAAATGCAATCTTAAAATTGAAAATATTTCATTAGCATTTTCTTATGTAAGTTTGGAAATATCATTTTAAATGAAAGCACTTAACTGCTTTTTACTTTATAACTCAAATGTGACTTGCTATTTCTTGCAAAATCCACTGTTTTTGTAACTCTACCACCGACAACAGTATTGCAAATTAGGACATGAATAAACCCTGATTACATCTGACTCAGCAGAATGCTTGCTCCCGTCACTGATGAGGGTGCTGCTTTGATTCGAATGTTGTGTGCTGTTTTCACATAAGTCGTTGAGCGCCAGGGAGGACAAAAGGGAGTCATATTGAAATGCCTTCCATTAATGATTACCACGGCATACTATGACCGCACAGGGATGGCTCCCACATGCCAGAAGAAATGCATTCTGGATTTTAAATGATGGCTGTAGCCATAGTCCACTTGAAATCCGGTCTGCATCATTCATATTTCCCTTCACCTCGTAAGTAAGCAACATAAGCAGCCCCAGTCAGGTTTGCATTGTTTGCTGATTTCTGTGGTATCAGTTCTCCTGCTATGGTAAATCAGAAGCCATCATCTGAAGCTATTGAGCAAGGGTTCGGCAGAGACAGAGCAGAATATACATTTTTGCTTGACTTGATGCAATTTCAGAAAACAGGTAATAGAAGAGTATGGTTAAAAAGGGAAGTGGTTGCTATAAATATTTGTTACCCATATTTTAACATGTTTGATTGTAATTTATATAATTTATTTTTACCTTAGCTTCACTAAGACTTCAGCTTCTGAGGGCCCCTTCAGGATGGTGATTCTTGGCTTGACTCTTCCTTTTTGTGTTTTTTGTTTGTTTGTTTGTTTGTTTTTGAGACAGGGTTTCTCTATGTAGCTTTGGCTATCCTGGCCTCACTTTGTAGACCAGGCTGGTCTTGAACTCACATCAATCTGCCTGCCTTCTGCCTCCTTGAGTGGTTGGGTTGACTCTTCTGAGCCAGACTCCCTACCTATTTCAGGCAAGCTGGAAGCTGAGTTCCAAATCCCACACAGGATGTCAGAACCATACAGTGCAGATCTTTGTTGGAGGTCTGCTGTCCAAACATGACTTTTTCTAAAAAAAAAAAAAAAGTTCCCTAAGCTCCTTACCCAGGCAGCTGCTTATTTGGTAGCTACAGTGGCAGAACTCCCTGGAGCCATGAACATTATGAGACAGCAGGACCCTTCTGTGACTCAAATCTAGACCTGTACTGGGAAAATTATGGTTGTCTAGCTGGTCGCCCAGGTTGAGCGGCCAATGTGGTTCTCAAGGGCTCAGGCTGAATGAAGTATACTGTACGTGGGCGGTTAGGGAGGGCCCACAGGGCCAAAGGATGCCTCCTTTCCAGCCAGAGTTTCTGTTCACTGTTAAAAAAAAAATAATAGAGAGAGACCACCTATTTCTGAAAAGCTAACAAAGGTTTTTTTTTGTTTTTTTTTTTTTTGTGCTTTACTGAAGACAATAAGTGAAAGGGTTGATAGCATTCATCACTAGGCAACGCAAACGCCACGGTGAGAAGCCATATATGGATGCCAGACTGGTCAACATGCCAGGGAAGCTGACAGCACCTGGGTTGCCATGAACACAGCCCAGGAAAGCACAGATGACATGGAGGTATGGAAAATTATTCTGGCGAACAATCCTGTTTGTTTTTCTTAAGATAAATATAAGTGTGTGGTACAGCCCAGCAATCCCGTTCCCACTGCACAGCTAAGGAGGTGGAAACATAGTCATGATGCCTTCATCCTGCATGATGCCACGCATGAACAGCAGCTGGAGTGCCCATCGTGTGGTGAATGCATAAACACTTTTTATTAGAATTCTGTTCAGCAGTAAGTACAATCAATTGATTCGTGCAAGAGCATGGACATATCTGAAAAGCACTGAAGCCAGACAAAAGACTGGCCACTGCATTAGTCCATGCATAGAAAACGCTGTAATGAAAACTATAGTGCATGGACCTGGCGTGGGGAAAGGCTAAGGCTAGCTTTCACAGACACTGGAACAGTGCTGAGTCATGGGGCAGTCCTTTGTATAAGTGTGTGCAACTGTCTAAACTCGTGGAATTGTACAGTTAAAGTCAGTGGTTCTTATTGCACATAAATTGCACCTCAATGCCAGATGGGCAAAAAATGTAAAGATGGTTTTCACTAAGAACCCAGCAATTTCATCCCCAGGTCATTCAGCTGCATGTCTCAGTGATCCCAGATACAATATTCCCAAGCTAAAAGCAATATGTTTATCACAGTGACATGGGTATGTGATAGGGCTTCACAACCAGCAGTGAGTGAGCGACAGCCACATGAAACATCATGGACACATGTCACCAATATATATGGAACAACAACGACAGGCACAGAAAACCATGCTCTGCGTTTCTCTGTACGAAGTTAAAAAAAAAAAAAGGGAACAAACAAAACAGCCCAAGACAATTATAATAGCTATGAGTGCATTCCTCCTCACAAATGTCTAACCAGGCGCAGGAAGGCAGATCTGGTGGTCTGACAGGCCTGGGATGCACCCTCAGGCACTTCATCTTGGATGAAGATAGATAAATGCTCATTTATATGTCATGAAGATGTCACATGCATATTTAATAGTTTCTGCTATTATAGTCTATAAGAGAAAAGCTTTTAAAATATCAAGAAACGCTGTTATGTCTCTGAGAACTCATAGCCATGGTTTCATGAGTCCTTTGGAAGAGTCACAATCGGGTGTTTTGCACAGAGATGCCTGTACTATTGCCTATATGAAGTGACAGATTAACCTTGGCTATTCCTAGGAAAATGAAGGTGAAGATTAATAATGAAAATGTCAGTGATTCAGCCGGTTAGAATGTGTGAATGCCTGACTCCAGAATTCATGGGCTAGAAGTGTAACCCCCGAAGTCATATGCTCTTGCTGTCTGGTGGGACCTTTGGGATGGAATTAGTTGAGTAGCTTTGTCATGGAAGGAGCTCTTTGGTTGGTCTGTCTTGCCATGTGATACCCCATATACCAGGTCACAATGCAGCACGAGGACGTCACAGCTGCAAGCATGTCTGGAACTGTGAGCTGAATAGACATGTGTTCTTTGGAAGTGTTGTGGTGTTCAGTGATAGTAAAGGAAGGTGGGCCAGGAATAGGTTGTAGCATAAAGAACAGAAACACTTTAAAAATAGAGTAGAAGAAATTAAAAGGAGCTCAATTAATTGAATGAATACTCGAGGAGATGCAGTTTAAATGTTAGTAAACATGTAAACACTAAGATAAGGTTTAAAGGATTTAAGTATTCCTTGTTTTTAGCGCGGGAAGGTGATATCTGTCCCAGGAGGCTGCCAGACCTGCCCAGGCTCTACAGGAACTTGCTTAGCAGCTGATGATGTGATTTCTGGAAAGGTAGCAAAGTTTTTTTGTCCTGGTGTGGAGTTGCGCTCCTTCCTGCCTGTGAGCCCTCCAGGTTCACGTGACTAGACTGCAGCTACCCTGGGTCCAGTCTTTGGCACGCGTGGGAAGCTGAGCAGACTCTGCAAGTGGAGGCTGAGGAGGCTCAAAGTAGAGCCACAGCGAGCTCCTCCCTTGTGAACGGGCCCCGACACGAAGCAACCCAACCTCTCTAAAACCCTAAGTCGGTTAGTTTCCACGTCACTCCTGGCTGAGCAGTTGGGGGACCACAGACTGCCCCTCTGTGCTGCCTCCGTGTTCTCTTGGAAAGACGGCCCGGCGGACTCTGCAGGCTGTGCGGTCCCAGGGCCTGTGGTTTGGCGCTGCGGGCAGGGAGCGCTCCCCCGCCCCCGCAGACTCCAGGCCCAGGGCTCCGCGCCACGCACCACCACGCTCTCCCGAGTCCTCGCGGTGCCCCTGCCCTCAGGTGAAAGCCGTGTTGGCAGAGCTTAAAGATCCTTCTCAGTGGAGTTCCGCCCGCCCTTCTGCAGCCCAAGTAAGGCCCCCTCTGAGCTTCTTCCATTACCCACCCCCACGCTGAAGAGACAGCTGCCCTGGGGGGCGCTTGGCCCTGTGCTCGCGGAACTACAGCCATTTACGGCCTCGCGGACACAGGCACAAACTCTGAAGAGTTAGGCTGGCCCGTCCCCTGCCATGGCCCGTCCCTCCTGACAGGGAAATCCTGCGCTGTGCGGCTCCTCTGCAGGGGTTGGAATCAGGAGGGCGGCTGGGGAAGAGGCGAGCACAGCGCTTGGGCTTCCGTCCCAATCCAGCCGTCACTGCTTCACCAACGGAAAGGCCGGCCGGGCCAGCGGGGGACCTACCTCACCGTTTGCCGTGAGCAGTGAATAAAAGAAAGTTCCCGAAAGCTTTCATTCCGGCATCGCAGCGGGCGGGCTTCAGACAACCCTGAGGCAGTTAAGAAAAACGACAGTAAAATCTGAGAAACGAGGAGGCAAGGTCAGGTGGCTCGTCTACACTAGACTACACTCTAGGGGCAGAAAGGGCACGCACGAGGGCCCTGCGGTGAGTGTCGAGGGTGGCGGTGCCCGCCCGAAGGAGAAGGAGCGGAGCTGCCTCCCGAGCCCCCGAGGGCGGAAGCCAGCGCCGCCGCCCCCTGGCGCCCTGAGGTCGGAGCTCACCCTTCGCGAAGGACGCGGCTCCGGGCCCTTCCTCGCAGGCCCAGCCGGCCGCGGGGGTCCCCGGTGGGGAGCAGAGAGCCAGCTCTGCACCGCGGCAGCACGCAGCGGCGCAGCCTCGTTTCCCTGGAAACGGGAAGAGCCGCTCAAGTTTGCTCTGCTCTGGCGTGGGCGCCGGCTCCTGACGCGCGGGAGCTCTCCGGGCCCCGCGCCAGGCCGCGGAGGCAGGCCGCGTCCCCGCGCTCCGGCCGGCGCGCCGCCGGGCAGACCCTGCGCCTGCTGCTAAAAATAGAGAGGGGCGGCCGCGCTCGCCCGCTCGCTCAATCCGGAGCGCTGGGCCGAAGCGGAGCCCACGCAGAGGCCCGGGCGAGCTCGGAAGGCCCCACGCGCCGCCGCACGCGGCTGCCCGGAGGGGCGGCGGCACGCGTGCTCTCGGGAGGGCCGAGGACCCCGCGAGCACACCCCGGCGGCCCTGGGCCACGGCCCGACCCGAGGCGGCGCGGGGCCGGTGCGCACGCGCGCTCTCGCCGCCGCGCCCCCAGCCGCGGGCTGGGACCCCGCTCCTCCCACCTCCGGTCGCTCAGCCTCGGGCTGCGGACGGGCCGGGGCCGCCGGAGGGAGGCCTGGAGCCCGGCTTTGGGCTGCAGCCTCCTCCTGCGCGTGGGGAGAGTCTCGGCCACGTCCGGGGGCCGGGCTGGCCTGCAGCTGAACTCACCTGCCTCCATCCCCGCCCTGCTCCGCCGCGGGCCCGAAATCCTCAGCCAGTTCTCCCCAGTCCCCTGTTCCCTACAGTACCCCCCCACACACACACACCTCACCGCAACACTTTCTCCTGCGCACACACCATGTCACACACACACACCTCACCACAACACTTTATCCTGCACACACACACACACACACACACACACACACACACACGGCAACACTCTCTCCTGCACACACACACACACACACACACATACACACACACGCGCGGCACGCCTGGACTCTGCACTCACTACCCCCCGTGCTCACCCTAGACACGTCTCGGAACACAGCCCGCTCCCCCAGCACACAGCACACGCGCACCCCAGGCTCACACAGCCCATCCGTCCTGTGCGGTCCGCTCCTACGTGCACGCGGTACACACCCCTACGAGCCAGCACTTCCCGAAGAAACACACTTCGTCCTCGTCCCCGAAAGCCGTTCTGGGTTCCTTCCGGGCGTGTGACCTTTCCCCGGCTCCGCGCCCAGGCTCTCCCCCATCCCTATCCCCTTCGCTGAACCCCACCGGCTTCTTTGGGCTTCCGGGTCCACTCGGGGGGGCGCGGAGAGCTGCTGCCCCGCGCACTGGGCAAAGCGCTCGCGGGGTTCCGGGGCGGGAGGCCCCGGGCGTGGGCCCCGGGTCCCGGAGGAGGCGGCCCCGCGGGAGTGCGGTCTCTAAGGCGCCGGACGGCCGCGCCGGCAGGGGGAGGGCGAGAAGGCGGAGACTCGGCGAGGGCCCCCTCTCCTAGGGGAGGGCCGGAGGGGCGTCCTGGGGGCCGGAGGGTCGGGAGGGGGCCGCGGGGCGCGGTGCCGGGGAGCCGCGCGCGGAGCCGCGCGTCCGGGGAGGGGGCGCGCGCGCCCTGCGGTGTTCCGCGGCGGCTCGCTTCCCGGTGCGGGGTCGCGGCGGCGGCGGCGGCGGGGGGCGGAGG